GTATCTTCATAACCACAGAGAATATGAAATCAGAAGAGAATCAAAGTTCCAGATATAATACTGTCGTATATGTTGTTCTTAAATTTAGAATCAAGTCATTTCCCACACTGATCATCAGCCAAGGGTTTCATCTGGAGTGAATTGGTTGGGATCAGTTCAAAATACCAATAATTCCAACACCACCCGGGGAAGGTTGCTCTGAAAATGACCTAGGGGCTCAGAATGTAATTTTGTATCTACCGCATGCACAAGGAAAAGCAATGGAACGTTAGAGGGGCCACACCAATGGCAATATCCCAGGAACATCTGCCTGACCTACTGGCAGGAGGAGCAATCAGTCGCCATGGGGGAAACGCACGAACGTTCGAACCTGGCAGAGCCTAGCTCTGCACCTGCCACTTGACTTTGGACAAGCTCCTCCCTTGGTTCTGAGTACTCCTGTATGTAGAACGGAGATACACACCTGACAGGGTTGCTGGGAGGCTAAGTATCAGCGCATCTATCAACACTCATGTAAAACATCTCACTTGGCACCTTGTGCATACAAGCTGCAACATCAATAAGAGCTCGTACACGTATGTATTCGAAATGAAAAGCACTAACAAGTTAGAAAGCTTCACCCGAAAAGCTGACTTTCAGGTTCCATTCTGAATGTCAGGCCTTCCTCCTGACTGCAGTCATTTGTGGCAGTGTTTTCAGGGACCACAAGCAACAACTGTTGTGCATTGATTGACAGCAGGACTGTTTCTGTGGAATTGTCAGGAGCTGAGCCTGGGCATCACAGTAAACTCTGGCCCAGCAGAAGACAATTCTCAACCCCACCTGTCCTGAAAGCCAGAATGTTCATACCTGTAACACCTCAGCATCTCACAGGCACACCAGGAGTGAGGGGGTCACAAGGGGCCACACACAGCTGGCACAAGTGAGAGCTGGACAAATCCTCGTGCAGGGAGTCACATGTGGTTCCACTCACAAGCAAAACAAGCTGCCTTGGTTCCCAAAAGGTCCTTCCGTGAACTCTGACCTTGCTATCGAGGTCCTTTGAAAACTAAATCAGATCACAGCATTCAACCACTCAAACCCCCCCAGCTGCCCGTCCTCCTCACTGTGGGTAGAATCAAGAGCCCTGGAGGCAGAATGGGTTATGGGTTCAAACACACTTTAGGGGCGATGAATTATTTAATGTGGCTTCTCTAGCCAAAGTCCCTAACTCAGTGGTTATCAACCTGTGGGTTGCAACCCCTTGGAGGGGTAGAACGACCCTTTCACAGGGGTCACCCGATTCATAACAGTAGCAAAATGACAGTGATGCAGTAGCTAGGAAAATAAGTTTATGGTTGGGGG